GATTGCTGTCAACTCCAACAGACTAGATCCTCTCTATGCACAGGTTTGCAGAAACTCACTTTCCCATTATTCTTCAGCGAGGCAAGGCAATGATATCTTTTGCTCTGTGGAGGGAAAATTGACACAAGCCAAGTGATGTGTTACTTTTCTCCACTTGGGATGTCGCTACAGTAAGGCCAGGCTTCAGAATCTACATGTGTAGTACACAATAACACATGAAAATCACATGAAAGTAAACTAAACCAATTTACAAAAAGACTAAATGAGTTTTCAAACAGGAAAATGTGTAATAATGAAGAAATAGAGAAGACTTCATAAATCAAACCTATAATGTAAACCAATGACATAAATGTAGGTATTTAACAACAAACCTTAAACCCTGGAAGCGATACCACATACTGGAACTGAACTCACTCTTGCAAGGTCCAGTATACTGGAGATTCCTAGTCTGTTAGAGCCAGTTTTAAGTCCAACTTCTTTATAGGCAGCCAACAGCTACTCCAAGACTCAAGGGCAGAAGCCCAATGCAGGCAGTGCGTCATATAGACTAGTTGCTAGGATTCTTCATAATGCCTCCCTGTGATGTCACCACAGCAAATGACCAACCATGGCTTGTCAGACCTGACAGTGGTTTTGATCAGGTTCTATATCACAACCACTGCCTTGAATATTATTCTCATTTCTGGGACCAAATCCCAGACCAGAATCAACTCTAGAGAAGAAGGTTTATTTGTGCACAGGCTTTCAAGAGACATTGAAGCCACAGGGGTGGGAGCACCTAGTTCCCTATAGAGCTGGGTTAGGTGGCTGGTGAGCCTGCATTAGATGTTCTCTATCCCCAATTGGACAGTTCCCCTAGCTGGCTCCACAAACATGTTACAGAAATTCCCAAACTAGAAACCCAGTGCTCAACACATTGACATACATTTTAAAAATTCCCTGTTACTTTGAATTAAAAATGCCTCATACAAATGGGGCATTTGGACATATGGACAAACAGGAGAGTTGGTGGTACATTTTGGGGAACTTTATATGGTGCAGCCTTGGTGTCAGAGTCCATTCCTGGGACTGTCCTTGAGATGAGCAATCCTAGTCTTTATTTGCTGCGTCTGCCTCCTGCTTAAGCTTGAGGCTGTGATTCAGTCTATTGTATTGCCTTCAAGCATCCAACTAGCTGCCAGGTCTATGTCGCACCACCATGGGCTCCTTCCCTCCAAAAATAAGTCAGATATGTGCTTTCTCTCCTCAGATTCCCTGTTTATGAACTTTTTTAGCCTTTGGGGTTTATTATTATTATTTTTTAAAAGAAAAAACTATCGTTTTTTTTTCATTTTACATACCAATCCTAGTTCTAACTCCAGTCCTTCACCTACCTCCCCATCCAACCCCCTATCCACTCCTCAGAGAGGGTAAGGCACATTGTTTTGGGAAATTTCCAAGGCCATCCCTGCTATATCTATGCTGAGCAAGGTATCCATCCAAAGAAACGGGTTCCCAGAAAGTCAGTACATGCAGTAGTGATAAATCTTGGTGCCACTGCCAGTGGCCACACAGTCTGTCACATCCTTGCAACTGTAACTCACATTTAGAGGATCTAGTTTGGTCCTATGGTAGTTGTTTTCCTGCCTGGCTGGAGTTGGTGAGCCTCCATTAGCTCAGGTAGACTGTTTCAGTGGGTGTACCCATCAGGATCTTAACCTCTTGGCTAATATTCTCACTCCTCCCCCTCCTCAACTGGACTCTGGAAGCTCAGTCTATTGCTCCGCTGCAGGTCTCTGCCTTGGTTTCCATCAGTTGCTGGATGAAGATTCTATGAAGATATTTAAGATATTCATCAGTCTAACTACAAGGCAAAGCCAATTTGGGCACGCTCTACTCTATTGCTTAGGGTCTTAGTCAGGGTTATCCTTGTGGATTCCTGAGAATTTTTCTAGTGCTGGGTTTCTTGCTAGCCCCATAATGGCTCCCTCATTCAAAATATCTCTTTCCTTGCTCTCATCTCTGTCCTTCCTCCATCTCAACTACCCTGTTTCCTCAGGATCTCCTCCCCCTCCCCTTTTCCCTTCATCCTCCACTTCTGCCCTTCCTAATTCCCCACCCCCAAGCTCCCAGTTGTGTTAGGTAATTTTGTTAATTTCCCCATTTTCAAGTGGATCTATGTATGGTTTTCTTAGGGTGCACCTTGTTACTTAGCTTCTCAAGGATCATGAACTATAGATTCAATATCCGTTGTTTACAGCTAGTATCCACTTATAAATGAGTACATGCCATGTTCATCTTTCTGCATCTGAGTTACATTACTCAGGATAGTATCATCTAGTTCCATCCATCTGCATGCAAATTTCAAGATGCTATTGTTTTTTCTGCTTATTACTCTAATGTGTAAAAGTGCCTTATTTGTTTTATCCATTCTTTGATTGAGGGGCATCTAGGTTATTTCCATGTTCTGGCTATTACAAATAATGCTGCTAAGAACATAGTTGAACAAATGTTCATGTAGTATGATTAAGTATCTTTTTGGTATATGCCCAACAGTGGTATTACTGGGTCCTGAGGTAGGTTGATTCTCAATTTTCTGGGAAACCATTATACTGATTTCCAAAGTGATTTTACAAGTTTGTATTCCCACCAGCAATGGAGGAGTGTACCCTTCACTTCACTTCCTCTCCAATATAAGCTATCATTGGCATTTTCAATCTTAACCATTCTGACTGGTGTACAATGGTATCTCAGAGTTGTTTTTATTTGCATTTCCCTGATGGCTAAGGATGCTGAACATTTTTAAGGTGTCTTTTGGCCATTTGAGATTCTTCTGTTGAGGATTTTCTATTTAGTTCTGTATCCCAATTTTAATTGTGTTATTTGGAATTTTTATGTCTAATTTTTTGAGTTACACACACACACACACACACACACAAACACACATTGGAGATCAGTCCTTTGTCTGATGTGGAGTTGATGAAGATTTTTTTCTATTCAGTAGGCTGTCTTTTTGTCTTATTGACTGTGTTCTTTGCTTTACAGAAGCTTCTCAGTTTCAGGAGGTCCCATCTATTTATTGTTGCTCTCAGTGTCTGTGCTACTGATGTTATATTTAGGAAGTGGTCTCCTGTGTTCATGCATTGAAGACTACTTCCCACTTTCTCTTCTGTTAGGTTCAGTTGAGTTAGGTTCAGTTGAGTTTTGTGCATGGCAATAGGTTTGGATCTATTTTCATTCTTCTACAGGTTGACATACCAGCACCATATGTTGACAATGTTTTCTTTTTTCCCTTGTATAATTTTAGCTTCTTTGTCAAAAATCAGGTGTTCATAGGTGTGTGGATTAATATCCGGGTCTTCACTCCGACTCCCTTCGTCAACCTCTCTGTGTTTACTTTTAAACAGCAAATACCAAGCTGTTTTCATTACTGTAACTCTATAATAGAGCTCAATGTTAAGGAAGATGATGCCTCCACAAGTTACTTTACTGTACAGGATTGTTTTGGCTATCCTCAGTTTTTTGCTTTTCCATATGAGTTGATTATGGTTCTTTCAAGGTCTGTGAAGAATTATGTTGAGATTTTGATGGGGACTGCATTGAATCTATACATTGCTTTTGGTAGAATTACCATTTTTATTTTGTTGATACTACCTATCCAAGAGCATGGGAGATCTTTCCATTTTTGGTATCTTCTTCAATTTCTTTCTTCAAAGACTTAAAGATCTTGTCAAACAGGTCTCTTACTTCTTTGGTTAGTGTTACTCCAAGATATTTTATGTTACCCAGCCTTACAGAAAATACTAGAAGGAAAATCACAAACCAAGGAAGCCAACAACACTCATAATAACACAAGAATCTGACAACCCTCCACCAGCACAACTCAAAGAAGAAAAACACAAACACTACCACCATAAAAAATAACCAGAGTTAACAACCACTGGTCATTAATATCACTTAATATCTTAGGGCTCAATTCACCTATAAAAAGGCACAGGTTAAGAGAATGGATACAAAATCAGGATCCAACAGTGTGTTGTTTAGAAGAAACACACCTCAAACTCAAAGACAGACACTACCTCAGAGTAAAGGGTTGGGAAAGGGTTTTCCAATCAAATGGACCAAAGAAACAAGTGGGTGTGGTGATACTAATATCTAACAAAATTGATTTCAAATTAAAATCGATCAGAAGAGATGGAGATGGACACTTTATACTCAAAACAGGAACAATTTATCAGGAGGAAGTCTCAATCCTGAATATCTACACCCCTAAAATAAAAGCACCCACATATGTAAAAGAAACATTACTAGAACTCAAAGCATACATCAAACCCCACACTCTAATAGTGGGTGATTTCAACTCTCCTCTCTCATCAATGGACAGGTCAAACAGACAGAAACTTAACAGAGAAATAAGAGAACTAACAGATGTAATGAACCAAATGGACCTAACAGACACCTATAGAACATTCCACCCAAACAGAAAAGAATATACCTTCTTCTCAGCATCTCATGGAACCTTCTCAAAAATTGATCACATAATTGGTAACAAAGTAAACATCCATAGATATAAAGAAATTGTAGTAATCACCTGTGAACTATCAGATCACCATGGAATAATTTTAGAATTCAACAGCAATTCTAACCCCAGAAAGCCTACAAACTCATGGAAACTGAAGAGTCAATTACTGAATCATCCCTGGGTCAAGGAAGAAATAAAGAAAGAAATTAATGCCTTCCTTGAATTCAACAAAAATAAAGACACAACATACCCAAACCTATGGGACACTATGAAAGCAGTGCTAAGAGGAAAGTTCATAGCACTAAATGTTCACATAAAGAAAACAGAGAAAGTACACATTGGAGACTTAACAGCACACCTGAAAGCTCTAGAAAAAAAAGAAGCAGATTCACCAAGGAGGAGTAGAAGACTGGAAATAATCAAACTGAGGGCTGAAATCAACAAAATAGAAACACAGTAAACAATCCAAAGAATCAATGAAACAAAAAGCTGGTTCCTGCAGAAAATCAACAAGATTGAAAAACCCCTATCCAAACTAATCAAACGCCAGAGAGAAAACACACAAATTAATAAGATCAGAAATGAAAAGGGGGACATAACCGCAGACACAGAGGAAATTCAGAGAATCATTAGATCTTACTATAAAAGCCTGTATGCCACAAAATTAGAAAATGTGAAAGAGATGGACACTTTTTTAGATAAATACCATATACCAAAATTAAGTCAAGACCCGGTGAGCAGTTTAAATAGACCTGTAAGTTGCAAGGAAATAGAAGGTGTCATCAGAAACTTCCCTACCAAAAAAAAAGCCCTAGACCAGATGGTATCAATGCAGAATTCTACGAGAACTTTCAAGAAGAGTTAGTACTCCTTAATGTGTTTCACAAAATAGAAACAGAAGAGTCATTATTTGTGGCTATTGTGAAAGGTGATGCTTCTCTCATTTCTTTTTCAGCTTCTTGATTAGGGTTACTGATTTTTTTTACTTGATCCTGTATACAGCTACATTACTGAATGTATTTATCAGTTGTAGTTCCCTAGTAGAGTTTTGGGGGTCACTTATGCATACTATCATACCATCTGCAAATAATAAAGTCTGATTTCTTCCTTTCCAATTTGAATCCCCTTGATCTCCTTTTGTTGTCTTATTGCTCAAACCAGAACTTTAAGAACTATGTTGAATATATATGGAGAGAGTGTACAGCTCTCTCTTATTCCTGATTTTAGTGGAATTGCTTTGTGTTCCTCTTTATTTAATGTGACTATGGCTGTTGGTTTGATGTATATTGCTTTTATTAATTTTAAGTGTCTTTCTTGTATCCCTGATTTCTCTAAGACCTTTATCATGAAGAGGTGTTGGATTTTGTCAAATGCTTTTTCAGCATCTAATTAGATAATCATGGTGGTGGTTTTTTTTTAGTTTTTTTTTTATGTGCTGCATTACATTGATAGATTGACATATTGAACCATCCCTGAATCTCTGAGATGAACCCTACTTGATCATGGTGAATGATTTTTTTTGATGTGTTCTTGGATTCAGTTTGTCAGTATTTTTTTTTTCCCGTTAGACTTGGTGTCAGTATTTTATTGAGTATTTTTGCATCTATGTTAATGAGTGAGTGTTGTCTGAGTTCTGTCCTGCCTGATACCTACATTTGCTAAGTTCCAAAGAAATCACAGAGGTCTACATTAACTATAAACTGACTGGTCCATTAACTTAGACTTGTTATTAACTCTTATAACTTATATTAACCCATTATTCTTATCTGTGTTAGTCACGTAGCTCGGTACCTTTATCAGCGTTGCAGTCACATCTTGCTTCTTCTTTGGCTGGGTCAGGACTGCCGAAGAATGGGTTTCCTTCTTCCCAGACTTCTCCTGTTCTCTTTGCCCACCTCTAATTCCTATCTGGTTGTCCCGCCTATACTTCTTGCCTGACTACTGGCCAATCAGCATTTATTTAAAATATAATTGACAGAATACAGATCATTGTCCCACACCAAGTGAGACTGGTTTGTAATTCGCTTTTTTGGTTGAGTCTTTGTGTTGTTTTGTTAGAGTTACAGTTAACTGTAGTAACTGTAGACTCATAAAAAGTGTTTAACAATGTTTTTTTCTTTTTCTATTATGTGGAACACTTAGATGAGTATAGGTATTAGCTCTTCTTGAAAGTTCTGGTAGAATTCTGCACTGGAACCATATGGCCCTGGGATTTGTTTGTTTGCTTGTTTGTTTTAGCATCTTTTGATGATAGCTTCTAGTTCTTTGCATATTGTAGGTCTATTTAAAAAGTCCACCTTGCCTAGATTTAATTTTGGTATATAGTGGTGAGAAAATTGTTCATTTCTTTTACATTTTCCAATTTTGTGGAAATCAGGTTATTGTAGTATGGCCTAATGATTCTCTGGATTTCCTCATTGTCTGTTGTTATTTCCCCTTTACATTTCTGATTTTGTTAATTTGGATGTTCTGTCTCTGCCTTTTGATTAGTTTGGATAAGGGTTTGTCTATCTTGTTGATATTCTCAAAGATCCAGCTCTTTGTTTTATTGATTCTTTGTATTGTTTTCTTTGTTTCTATTTTATTGATTTCTGCTCTCAATTGGATTTTTTCTTGTCTTTTACTCTTCCTGGGTGAATCTGCTCCTTTTTGTTTTAGAATTTCAGATATGCTGGTAAGTCACTAGTGTGAGCTTTCTCCACTTTCTTTCAGTAGGAACTTAGTGCTATGAACTTTCCTCTTAGCACTGCTTTCATAGTGTCCCATAGGATTGCAAACACTAGTCCTTAATTTTCACTTCTATGAAGTCTCTAATTTCTTTCCTTTTTTCTTCCTTGATCCAGGGCGGTTCAATAGAGCATTTTAATTTCCATAAGTTTGTTGGCTTTCTGTGAGTGTTGTTGTTGTTAAATTCTTACTTTAAATCATGGTGATCTGATAAGATATAAGGGGTTACTCCAAATTTTGTATCTGCTGGGGTTTGCTTTTTCTTGGTTTTCTTGGGTTTCTTTGAGATATTTATTAATTTTTGTTTGCCTATTCCTTCATTTTTTAGGGGGGTTTATCATTTTGTCTTTTAAGGTCTCCATCTTCTTCATAAGTTACCTTTAAGGTTCAGTGTGGCTGGCTTTATGTTGAGGTCTTTGATCCATTTGGACTTGAGTTTTGTGCATGGTGATAGATACGGATCTATATTCATTTTTCAACATGTTGATATCCACTTATGCCATCACCACTTGTTAAATAGGCTTTCTTTCATTTGATATTTTTTGATTCCTTGTCAGAAATCAGATGTTCAAAGATGTGTGGATTGATATCCGGTTCTTCTATTCGGTTTCATTGGTCCTCATATGTGTTCTTCTGCCAATACCAGGCTGTTTTCAGTACTGTAGCTCTGCCGTGGAGTTTGAAGTCAGTACTATCACTGTCTGTGTCTCAGCAGTTTTGGAGCAGCCTACCTGCAGGAAACTCACCTGCTGGCTAGCTGTAGAAGCTGATGCATGTCGGGGAGAGGCCTGGGGTTTTGCTCCAGTATGGAGGGCCTAGAGAGTGGGGTGTCCTGTCAAGTAGCTTTTCACTCACCTCTTGGTTTTCTCCTTGTAGTAGCAGGCTGTGTTTTAGGGTTCCATTGTGCAGGGGTTAGGATGGGGGTAATGGAGCAGCC